ACCATTTGTGTGCATATTGGCTGCCTAGAACATGTAATTAGTGGCTAAAGCCCCTAGTGTTGTTCTTCCCAACCTTCTCAAATTTGCATTTTTATAGAAGCTCTGATTTTCCAGTTAAAACCCTTCATGGGAAGTATGGTTGTGAAAATTACTTGAAAAGTATGCCTTATCCCACCACTTTCCTCTTTAAATGCATATGAGATTATGGGTCCAACAACAAATTCACTCCAAAATAAATCTTATTTGGTCTGTTTCATTTTGTTGGTCTGTTTCAACTCGTGCTCAAGTCTTTCTACCAAAGACAAAGTCCCTCCTGCCTAAAATTCACTGCAGATAGTTTTCTAATGAACTAGCCCCCTGAGGCTGAAAAGTAGCAACCTTTTAAGTAGAGCTGATTACAAAAATTAGTACAAATTTCTGTACATTTTTAATAGGAAAATAGTATTTTATCAAAATCAAGCCTTTCTAAGGGAAAGTGTCAATGTTGACATTTATTTGGGAAGAAAGGAAATGAAACATTTTGCTACCATGACTATATATAATTTCTCAGAGAAAAATGGGAGATTTGTCAGTGTTATAACCTAAGACGGTGCTCTCATTGTTAGAAGCACCCTGGATTGAGCATAAGTTGTGTAGAACAGATTCACTTTCAGCACTTACTATGTGTTTTGGAGTTATTGATTTAGTCAAAAGTAACAATGAAGGTTACTAGAAGATGGCATTCCCAAATGGAAGTGGACATATAAAAGCAAATTTTGATGATGCATGCTAACTCAAAGAGCAAATTAGGAAAGAAGGATTGGTACTTATATTCATTTCCTCTGTGTTTCTAAACTAGCAGCTGGGATATAGTAACATAGCATTATGCACACAATATATATTTCATTGCTGTCCCCTTCACCCCCAACTACAGTGCACTAAAGTATCTGTTCCTGAAACGAGACAGAACCTGGGCACAACAGATTTTAAAACTAATTTAGAAAAGTGCTCAAATTTGAAATGTTTTGCCAAATCTATTCCTATGGCACTCTGAAACCATTTATAGTGAAGCCAGTTGTGGTAGGACTCCAGCAGGATCACGCCTATCACTCTCATTTCCTTCCTACCCCATTTAGTGGCCCCCTACCTCCCCTCCTGCCACTTCCCCTGTGACCTGCCCATCATTTTCTAGCCTTTTCCATAGCCTTTCTTTATCACATTCATCTCACCTCAGTACACACATATATAGTCTGCACAATTGTAGCTCACAAGATTTATTTCCTTCCAAATTCACTATTGTGTTTCACACATATTCCCCTTATAAATCACCTTTCTTCCAGTCCTCTATTCCAATCTCCATCCTTACAGTAAACTCCCAGTCCCTAGATTTACTGTCTTTTGCTTTATTCACCTAGGTTGGAATTTTAACCCAAGGGTTAAAAGAGGAACAGTAATCTTCTACAGTCCTCTCCTCAGCACTTTAAAGTTCCTGGCTGAGGTGACCTTATTTATGTCCAAAGTGACAGCCATGGAAGTGCCCCGTATTGTCTCTATCTCAACACAGCACTGGACAAGGGTTTGAATTAGGCCTGTGCGAAGCACCTAGTATTCATTTCAGATTCGACTGATTCGGGGGACAGTGATTCAATTCAGCTCTGCCTAGCAGAAGTGCAGGGCTTTTTTTCTTTTTTCTTTTTTTTAAAGAGCCAGGACACTGAGGCCAGGCAGGGTTTCCATCAATGAGACTTGGAGAGCAGGAGGAGGGTGGGGGTTTGTAGAAGAGTGCCCCATGCAGCGTGGAGCAGTAGGGGGCAGCAGAGACCACACCTCTGCCTGCCAGCAGCCAGAGAGTGTGGAGTTTTGGTTGTTTTTTTTTAAGAGTCAGGATGTTCAGGCTGGGCAGGGCAGGCATTGACTGGGCTGGGAGAGCAGGTGGGGCTTGGAGGGTGCTCTGGGGGGCTGGGGGATCAGGCAGGGGATGGGGCCTGGTGGGGCTCTCCCCATGGTCCTCTCCCCCCTCATCCTACCACACCCCCATCCCCTACTTACTGGCAAGGAGCCTGGGTCCAGCTCCCTGTGGCAGTGAGCAGGGACTGCCTGAATCACCCAATCTCTGAATCTTTCTTCGACTCTCCCCTGAATTGATTTGGAGGCTGCAAATTGATTCAGACCTTTTTATTGGTCTCCTTATTTAATTCAGATTCAGAGATTCAGCAGCCAAACTGAGCCAAATCTCCTCCGAACTGAATCAGACCTGAAGCTTTGCACAGCCATAGTTTGAATCGCTCCATGTGTTACTGGTATCTGTTGGTATAACCAAGGACACAAGTCTTTCCGTGACAGAAACATAGTAGAAGCTGTGTAAACCACTGCCTTTTTTCCATTTGGTTTGATTGACTCTTACAATATATAGCAACTTCTGCTAACAGAGGTGCTGTAGTCCACACACTTGTCTTCTTAAACCTGGACTGTTATAATTTACTTTTTCTAATTACATGATTAGTACAGTAGAATGCAGGAACTGATGACTTGCATTCATTTTGTGAAACTCTTGCTCAAGTCTTTCTACCAAAAATAAAATCCCTCCTGCCTAAAATTCAAGTCAAAGAAAACATGTTTCATTAGTCTGTCACAAACCACATAGGAACCCTATTCTGTGTCACACCCACTTCAAGGCTCTGATATTGACCTACACCAGTGGTGCTTAACCTTTTGGCTCTGTGGGCTGGATGAGTGGGTAAGGACTGGTCCATGAGCTGGTTCTCTAGCATGGTCAATGCCTGTAACCAGGCCCTGTGCTGCCCAGCCCTGTGCATCTGCCACTGCTCCTCTGCTGCCAAATTTTCAGACCAAAGGGGACTGGCAGACCAGATAACATATCTCTGCAGGCCAGATTAGGTCCTCAGGCTAGGGGTTAAGCACCGCTGAGCTATAGATCTTACTGGAATTTGGTTACAGCTACTTCTGCAACCTCCTTCAGATGAGACTGTTTGGCATGCTATGATTAATTATATTAACCCCTCAAGGAAGATAATGGATACAGACTTCTAAACAGCCCTCAACTCTGGAATATATTCCCTGTGAAAATAATCATTTTTAAGCCATTCACCAAAACCTGCTCCAAACAACAAAACAGTTAAACGAGGTACACATATGGTCACAGTTTATGACAGCAAGTTAACCCCATCTGGATTTGACAACTTGTTACTAGTGAAAAGGCTTTTGTTCCCTGCCATTCCTCCTGAACTCCTAGATGCTACTATGACTAACAGCACAGGAACATGTACTGAACAAAGACCTGGAATTTATATTTTACATAGGAGGTGGAGAAAGTGCAGTTAAAATACTATTTTTTAACCTTTCTCTCCTGTGAAGACCGATGCATTATTATATTAGTGCTTCTTTGAGGCAGAATCTATGGAATAATAACTGTTGACTTTGTAGACAACCTGATCAGCATCCTTGTTATGTATAATACCTACCTTCTTTCTTGACTATTGTAATGTCTGTCCTTAAATGTTTCTTTCTTTGCATTATTTTCATAGTTCCCCTTGGTAAGCAAAAAACCTTTGACATATTAAGCAGGGAAATAGAAATCTACAGCATCAGTGGTCAAAAATCCTCCTTAGTTTTAACTGATTTGACATAAAAAACCCCAAAATTTGTAATTTTATACCATGGTTTTGTGGTAGAGAGAAATATTTCTCATCATCTACTCTACCACCACAGAAACCTTACCACTAGGTATTGCCAGGTCATAGGGTAGGCAGGTTCACATTTAAGTGGCTTATGTGGTGATATATTTGCAACCTGGGGGGGAAAATAATTCTTCTGGGTCATCAGCCTTGCTTGATATATTTGGAAAACCCTTGAGGATATAACACCTCTATTATATCAATCTCTAATAATGTGGATGATCATTTTCACAGTAACTTGTCAAGCCTGGTGCTTGGGTAAAAGTTACTTTAAAGTAGCTGAGCTAGATCATGAAGACAACAACAAAAGTAAATTGTTTAAGTGTTGTTAAGCTTTCAGTGAATGTTGTATGCCAAAACTTTTTGGGTATCCCAGGTAGAAACAGTAGCCAAAGAGCTTTTCCCTCATCACTACATCTGCACATGGACAGGTTGTTTTGTTTTTTTTTTCCTTTTCTTTTGCCTTTCTACTTCTTAATTTTGTCTTCAGTACATTTATTCATTCCATATTCCATTACCAAAATGAACTTTGTAGTCCTGAAGACTATTTAAAAACTTCAATTAATGGAAAACATCAGTGCCTCTTAGCAGTGCTTCTCATAGGGAGTATTTCAACTTGGGCTTCACAGGCTTCTAATTCTGAATCTAGATCCAGTGAATTGCCTTTGATTGTATAACACTCTATGATACAGTTGTATATCTCATAGATGGTTCTGTCATTTTGACTACCTGGAAAAATTCTTCATGCTGAAAAATGGAGTTTTTGATTGATAAAATGTCTATCACATTCTAGACTTGACAGTTTTTGTCTACAAAAAGTCAAGATATTTAATTTTGATTTAAATGTAATTATTAAAGAGGGAAAAGCTCCTGAAAATGAAATAAAACATTTATTACAGGTGAATTAAGCATTCTGTTCAGCCTGAAATATTTTTTCCAAGTTACTAAAACACTTGAAATCAAGTGAGATGCTCCATTTGATAGCTGAGGCAGAGAACAGCCAACATATGAAGTCTTAGTCTACATCTTACTTAGTATTTCTTTTTTTCCCTGAAGAGTAGGTTAAGGAATATGTTTTTATTGTAATGATGTGTGATTTGGTTTTCATATTATTCCAGTTTTGCATGAAGGAAGGATTATTTTTGTTGGTAACAGGTAACAATGGATTAGTCTGATGTTTGTAGTTTATGGTATTATTTATCTTGTGCGTGTGATAGTCTAATATCTTGTTTTTTATTCTCAAGAGAAGAATAAAGTACATATATGGGCCATAATCATTAATTAAGTCATTTTATATGATCGATTCTTTGTTTTGTACCTTTGTAGGTACTTCTGTTCTCCAAGTGACAGCGACAGATGCTGATGATGCAAACTATGGAAACAGTGCCAAAGTTGTGTACAGTATCCTCCAGGGACAGCCATATTTCTCAGTGGACCCAGATACAGGTCAGCAACCCTTCTTGCCCTAACTTAATAGCTGGAGAAATAGGACACAGTCAGGTATCGAGATCATCATAATTGACTTTCAGTCAACTATTTGTTTCCAGTTCGTTTTTTTTTTTAACTCAATTAAATTATCCATCTATTGTTAAAATCTAACCAAAACCAAGAACACACACAGGTATCCATTAAGCTTTAATCAGAACTCCCCATCTTTAAAAACCAATAATATGATATGACTGATAACTCCAACAATCTTTTCTCAAAGAATTTCTAAAAAAATATACATTTTCTTCAAGAAGATAGCTGAGCAGTTGGCACAAGTGCAACCATTCCCAGAATGCTATGTCCAACTTAATGTTTATAGTTCAAGAAAGATGTTGATAAGCTGGAGAGGATTCAGAGAAGTGCCTCAAGAATAAATAAACATTGAGAAAACATACTTTATAGGAAAGACTATGACTGCCATTTGTTTAATTTATTAAAGAAAAGGTTAAGAGGTGGCTTGGTCTCTATCTACAAGTGCCCAAAAGCAAAACATATAATATGGGGAGCTCTCCAATCTCTCAGACAAACCTATAATAAGTTCTGGTGGCTGAAAATTGGAAGACAGACAAAGTCACATAAGAAATAAGGCAAATAAAACAGAGCAAAGCAAAAACCAAAGACCTGTAAGGTTAATTAATCATTACAACAACATGCAAAGGGTTATGGTGGATTTTTCATGGTAGGTTTTAACTCAGGTTTAGATAATTTTCTAAAAGAAACTACTCCAGTTTAACCCCTGGAGCTATTACACATGAAGCAGGAATTAATTAATGGAATTCATACAACCTTTGATATCTAGGAGGTCAAAGTAGATGCTAACAGTGGTCCCTTCTGGCCCTAAAAATCTATGGCTCTGTTAAAGTTTGAAAAAGTAAATCCAGGACATCACCAGCGTCTGCCCTGTTAATGAAAAATTGCCATAATTACAGCGATCATCCCAAAGCTGGAGGTTGCAAAGCTCTGGCCTTAACAAAATAATAGGGAGGCTAGCTTAAAAGCTTTTGTTAATGCAGCATATGTAACTTTTGTCATCAAAGGATAAACTGATTTAGCATATTTCAAATACTGAATTATACCATTGCTATTTTTCACTCTGTGAATATATGTCAATATACTTTGAAAAGTATTTGGTTGCTTGGGAGTAACAATGGTGTAGTATATTTTATATCAATCCATTCTAAAAATACAGGAATTAAAGTTAGTGTATGCACATTTTCCTCTCTCCCTCCACCCTCTCTTTTTCATTCTTCTCTTCCAGGCATAATCAAAACTGCTTTGCCAGACATGAGCAGAGAAAACAGGGAGCAGTACCAAGTGGTCATCCAGGCCAAGGACATGGGAGGCCAAATGGGAGGATTATCAGGGACCACTACAGTGAACATCACACTGACTGATGTTAATGACAATCCACCTCGATTCCCCCAGAGTATGAAGTGTCTTATAGTTCTAATGTGTCCCCCCTCCCCCCTCCCCAAAAAGCTTATTTAGTCAGTTGTTTGACCATTATCATCTGGAATATTTGTCATAGGTATCGATGCACTCTTGGGGCTGTTTATGTTACAGCTCTATGACAGCACATGAGAATCCACTTATTTTAAAAAGGTGTTCAAGAAGAATGAACCTCCCATGCTCAGAAATAATTTCAGCAGTATCAATAATTCGTGTTAACTGCAGTGCTATGTTTTCAACACTAGAGTAAATTAATTAAAAAGCAGCAGATTAAGGGACAGATTTTCAGAAGAGTCCATTATCCAATTCATTTAAGAATATGGATGAGAATTCAGATTTTCTAAGGAGCTGATCTTCACAATGGGGATTTACTGGTTCTTTTGGAAACCTGACCACTTGTTCCAGATGCCTGCAATCTAGCCCCAAGTCCTTGCTTAATACTGAAATTTAGTAATCTGACCCATATTTCATATGATTACATTTTCAAAAAAATTCTTTGACTTAAAATTGGTAAACAAGGAACAGATGGATGGTACAAGGGATGTGCAATGCAAGGCAGTCTCTTTTATCTTAGGCCACTAGTTTAAATCTGATCTTAAGCTGATTAGTGATCTGAAGTTGTTGGAAGTCTGATAGCTGCTTGGTATTCACTCTCTCGATGTATTAAAAAAAAATCATAGTCTCAGTTTGGTACCCACTGGAAAAATGTTCACATTATTAAATTAGTATTGCCATTGGCACAAACTGAAGTACTGGCTGGCACACTGATCAGACACACTGAAGACTGAACAAACATCAAGGCTAATATAGAGAACCTGTCTGGATTTACGAAACTTGTAAGGCACGTGAATCTCATGCCAATGAGTGCAACCAGAACAACACAATCAGTCTGTCTGTTTTATTTTAGAAAACAATTCTTTTGAAGTTTCAAACAGTTTCTCTCTATTTATAAGAACAAACCAACTTATCTGAAAATAAATAAAATGTTGAGGACATTGGTTTTCAAAACAAAAAAAATGTGAAATATAAAGAAAATAATACATTTAAAATAATAAAATAATCTTGCTTATTAAAAGCCATTTTCATAGGGTAGCCTCAGGGCAATGATTACTAAAAGCAGAACACTTCCATTCATGTTCATTAGAAAGTACTGCTTAAATATCAGTAGCATAGTATGGTATAATATTTAAATGAACTGGAGTTGTTGAACCCAAAGGCAGAGTAGAGATCATTGTATTGTATTATAAAACAGACCAGTGAGTCGCTGTCTCATGATAGAGGATATATAGACTTCTAATGTAACTCTGAGATCTGAAGTCTTTACACCCATAGTCCTTCTGGTGCTCTTTCAAGATTCTTTCAACATTTTTCCACTGAAATGAATGGAAATCCTTCAATGACTTCAGTGAGCTTTGGGTTGGGTCACTAGAGTGAAATTCATAACAGGGTAGAGAGGCACTATGCCCTCCCTATACTACGTAAACCTTACCAAATGGGAAATGGAAGGCTTTCTGTGGGCTATATGCAGTAATGTTATTTCCCCTTTGCTGATGATCACTTCCTCTTTTTGTCTTTTTCCCCATATGGTTATTTTTTTTATCTCCTGGGAAATTTTAAAACCTCTCACAGAGTCATGCCTCTTCTAAGGCCTTCTCTAAAAGACAGATAAACTTTATCTCTTTATGCAAGCCAGCAGTTACAGCTAATAGTTTGATCCGATGTAAAGGCGGAAGTGTGAAAAAGCAAGGAATGGGGAACAAACTCAGGGAGAAGCCTGTGTGAATTAGACTACAGGAGGAAGGGCAGGTGTGTGTGTGTATGACAGACACACACCCGCACACCACCACACACATATAGGTATAGTGCCCCACACAGCTAAAACACCAAGGCTGAATTCTGTTTGAGTGACAGGAATGAGAAATGTATTTAATTATACCAGACCATAACTGAAAACAGAAACTTTTGCAACTGAATTGTGCACTAAAACAAAGTAGCTGTGTCACATGCCAACACTGTGTTACACACAGATCTCACCTAAATTATAGAATAAACTTTCAGAAGCTAACATGAGCCAAGGGAAGTGTTTCTCTTTAATATTTATACTTTTACTGTAAAGAACAAATCTATCATGATTAAATTTCTTTTTAGAGGATTTCTGGCTCAGTTAGCAAAGCCAGAGGTTTGAATAAGTCTTCCAAACTGATAGTTAGATATCATTAAGCCTAACTTCCAAACTGTTTTCAGCCTGTTGTAAGGGAAATATGTGTCTTTTACAGTTGACTTGATCACAGCTAACCAGCCTACCACAACATCTTCAGCTATAGGCTTGAATTCTTAATGGGAAATAATATTTGACAAACTTTTTTCCTTCATTTTTTCACAAATCTATACAGGTATAGAAAAGATACTTTCAGTAGGCTAATCTGTGACAAAACCTAGGATAGAAACTCATTTACTATGCACAGTCTTGTTATGATCATTGTGCTTGCAGAAATTTAGGAACCGGTTCCTAAAGAAAACAGAAAGGCCATGGAAATACATCATTGGGGAAAGTAGGTTAGACCCCACTAGGTTGATATGCAATTCCTCAGCTCACAAAACTAGTTGAATTAGGACTGCACTTTCTTTAGACATAATCCATAACCAAGTCCAGCTTGGGAAGGCGTACTTTTATAAGATTCCCTTGGTAAGGGCTATTTTTTTAATGTTCCAGTTTGGCCAAGAATCACTATTAGGTGACCTGTTCAAACACAATAAATAACATTTTTTTGCAGCAGTTTCTGAAAACACTATTCCCTATACTTCCTTGTATCTAATAACCACTTGCCAATATAATTTTAGAAGTATTTTAACTCTGCAGGTCATTAATTGAAATCCAGACTACATCGCCTGTTGTGATTGGTCAAGAGAGTCATATGGTCATATTACTCTACAGGACCATAACTTTAAAATTAAGTGGGGCGGAGTGTTATTTTTTTTAAACAAAAGTTGACAGAAAATTAAATTTTAATTCATTTTTATATTCAAATATATAAGGTTACAATTCCTTTGTCATCCACATCCAGGCTGGCAAAACCTGACTATAACAATATTAACCAAAGTCAAACATAAAAGGACACAACAAGTATAACTAAAGTAAATTAATACAAAGACCTGAAAACATTTCTATTAATTTCACTGAACACCACCATGAATCCACTTATAACAGCTTTGAAAGACTGCTTGGAACAGATCTGCAGTATATGTTACTAATAAAGTCTTAATAAAAGTACCTCTATACAAAATGCAATTGTAATTCTCAAAGATAATTTTAAAACAGAAGGTTTTGTCTATGGTTTCTTCCCAAGATGCTTGGGAAGAACTCTTGTGTATAGTAAAAACTAAACAGAGAACAAAAGAAAAGAAAAGAAAAGAGAAAAAGATGAAAAGGGAAAAAAAGAAAAAAAAAAGATGATTTAATTATAGGTAGTGAAAACAGAACCTAAGTGGGAAAATACTGTCATTAAATAATTAGATTAATAGTTAGTGCCATATTATGATACTTGAAATGTTAGGAAAATAGGAGCATTAAAAGTGCATAACAAATACTTCACTAAATGTCTTTAAAGTATTACCTTGTAAAAAAACAACTTTTGACAGTTTGACAGTCAACTCTGAACTCTGTTTCAAAGCTTACTCATGGTTACTAAGAGCATTCTCTTAAAGTGTTTTGACTTTGAAGGCAACTTGAAAAAAAAATTCAGAGAAAAGAAGGACTGTTATTATTTAGAGAGATGAAACACCAAGAAAAAAAAAAGTTTGATTTGATTTTTCCAGGCACGTACCAATTCAGCTCTCCTGAGTCTGCACCGCTTGGGACTCCTCTTGGAAGAATAAAAGCCAATGACCCCGATGTGGGTGAAAATGCTGAGATTGAGTACAGCATCTCTAATGGGGATGGATCAGATGTGTTTGATATCATCACTGACAAGGACACACAGGAAGGGATTATAACTGTCAAAAAGGTTTATTTTTCCTCCCTCTCTCTTATTATACTTAACACTCCAGGTGTTATAGTTATTTTTTCCTTTTCTAGGGGAAGGGGAGGGGAAGGTCTCACAAGGGGGTCAGTTGCCAAGAAGTTACCTTATAAGTTTTGTTCTCTTTTTCAGCAGTGTCTGTTATTCCTAGCCATCAGGGAAAAAAATTCTAACATGCCACTTCACATAAAGCAATATTTGTCATGACTGCAGTCTGTCAAATGCAAACACACACTCACACAACAGTTTGAATTAGGGCCACAAAATCCTGGAGGGGGTTCAACTCGCAGCAAGCTTCTTCAGCTGAACTCTGCAACACGGCTCACAAGAGTTGGTAGTGAACACAATGCTGCAAGTTTGCCTGAAGGTTTAAGTTTGATGGACTTATGCAACTAAAAGGAACCCCATGCAGATAGCACATTCTTCTGAAGTGTGCTTGTGCCTCCACAGAGGAATCTTAGCTACAGATGTGCGACAGATCCAAGTCAAACATCTAACTCTCAAAATCTGCCTTGGTTTCAATCAAACCTTAGGCTATCTTGGTTGCTAACAGGTGTCCTAAGGTGAAAGAGAGAAATAAATTGAATTTACAAACCATCACCGATTCTAAAGAATCTTGACTTGTCCATCAAACTGACTGAAGACTATTTTTATATTATCTGAGCACCAGCTTTTAAGAGTAACAGCTTTTTTTGAGTTTGATGCTGCCTTTTTGGGGTACATCAAATGGGACTCAAGCAATAACTCCAAATACATTCATTCCTCTTAACTCTCTAATGAACACATGAGCCCTACGTCAAATCCAAACCTTACACGTGAATACATAATTGCATGCAGATATAAATCCTAATACTTTGATCTTGATGGCACATGAAACTATGTAAACTGTTTCCGATTTAAGGGGGGGGGAAGCTTTACTAGACCAGGTTTGAAAAGAACTTTCTTTTTTTAAAAGACAAAGATTACAAGTTCATTAAGATAATGTATTAAAAAATACAATGTAAAATGTAAAAATATATACACCAATTCATCAGCTCCACCTAAATCCAGGGAAATGTTCCTGAAAACATAGTGACTCTTCCCTCCCCTTCCTCCCCCACCCCATTAATGTTTCAAAAGCATTTAATATGAAGGTTACCTAGACTTTACTTTCTAAATTTCTTCTATATCTTTCATTTTTTCATCCCAAAAGAAATACTTTAAATTTACCCTTTTTTTCAGGGCAATTACAGTTATGATGCACATATTTTTGTCATCAGATGAATTGAAAACCGTTGCCTCATTTCAGAGTAAACCAAAGCTCAGCATCTCCAATTTACAGGAAATTTCAGTATTTCAAGATTTTCTTTTATTTTAATTCAGATGTTTTATGGCTTCCCTGACAGCTGCTGACTGAAACAGATATCCTTTCTAGTTTCAGTGCTGTTTTCAGAAGGCCAGTTTAAGTTCACAGTGACTAAAGATCTCAGACCTGCAGTACCAGAAAAAGCCCTGCCACATAATATAATCAGCTTTATACTCTGTAGTTAATGAACTGAATGCATGTCTATAGACACAGTTTGTCTCACAGATGTAAATTCTGGTCTCTAAAAACTCCTACACCTATTAATTTTTAGTTTGTGAAATGCAAATGCATTTCTCTTTATGTGATGCCTATTTTATATTTTATTTTATTAACTTGCTCCCTAGCAGTTGGATTTTGAAAACAAGATGCTTTACACCTTAAGAGTGGAGGCAGCCAATAGTCATCCTGACCCACGCTTTTTGCAGTTGGGACCATTTAAGGATACAGCTCTGGTCAAAATTTCTGTGGAAGACATAGATGAACCACCAGTGTTCAGCAGAGCCTCCTATTTAATCGAAGTAGATGAAGATGCCAAGGAGGAAAGCATAATTGGGCAAGTGGTAGCTCAAGATCCAGACACCACAAAGAATGCAATAAAGTAAGTATTGGTCTCTGAAGAAAGTAAACACTAGTTTCAACTTGGTGTGAAAATGTGATAAGTATATAGCAGAGGGTCTGATATAAAGCAGTGATGAACAGCTTCAGCTCCCAAGGAGTCCCACAGAAGTTTAGGAGCAACCTTTGCAGCATTAGGCCCATAGTGGCTAAATGGAAATAATTAAGCAGATAAATATCTACAGAGAACCTGTGATGGCAAATACAACTAAGCATTGCTATATATGTTCTGAATGAAAGATTACAGGTATCAGATAAAATGAAATGCATATGGATGCTAAAAATAAGTAATCATTACCTTACAGCACTCTTAGTCCAACCACACTCAGGATAAGCTTTCATACCACATTTCCAAAAAATAAATTCATGCAAAATTCTGAAGACAGTTTATTTCCATTGGATGAATGTCCCTTCCCATAGGTTGATGACACTCAACTTTCTGCAATATACCTTGCAACATGCCCAATGAGTAAAATAACTCTCTAGAGATATACTACCTTCTATGTTCTACAGCTTAAATATTTAATTATCAACGTTTGTACAGTATATTAAATAAGAAACTACTGTGAGAAAGTCATAACAATTAGAGGTAAATGTTCACTGCTGTGCATCCGCTGTAATCGTTAGCCATCTGCTATTATTATCTAGGCTGACATGAAAGCACTGAACATTAGTACATTAGTGTATTCTCCATGCAAGTCATTATAAAACTCAAATCCTTCAGCTATATGTCTCAATGAAGGTGA